ACTGGGGGAGGAGAGGCTGGAGAATGGACCAGCATGAAAGGACATGGGTCTTGGATGCAGGTAGGGTGACCAAAACCTCATCCTTGTGTGTGGAAGACGTTCCTGGGGCATGGAGATCTTTCTGCCCTGTGATGGGAGCAGTGGAGAGGGAGTTGAGTGAGCAGCAGTGGGGCCCGAGGGACGAGCCTGAAGGTGTGTCAGGGCAGGTTCAGCTTGGATATTAGGGAAAGGCTCTTTCGCGATAGGGTGCTTTGGCACTGGAATAGGTTCCCCATGCAGATGGCAGAGCCCATCCCTGAAGACCCTACTACCAAAACCTTGCCATGTAAACCCAAAACAGTAAGGGAGTTCTTGTGGCATTTTTCAACCTGCCCTACCTATATCTTGACCAACCATTTGAGGGGCCTCACAAGGGCAGAGTAGAGGGGGCCAATCACCTCCCTCACTATGCTGGACAGTCCTCTGTTGATGCAGCACAGGATGCAGTTGGCCTTCTGGGCTGCAGGCGTGCATTGGTGGATCCTATTGAGCCTTTCTTCCACCAGAACAACCCAAGTCCTTCTCTGCAGGGCTGCTCTCAATGAGTTCTTCTCCCAGTCTGTACTCCTGTCTGGGATTGCCCTGACCCACGTTTAACACTTGGACTTGTTGAACCTCATGTGGTTCACATGGGCCTGCTTCTCCAGCCCGTCCAGGTCCATTTGAATGAAGATTGTTGTGTGAAGAAAGGAGGAGTGTCAGGCTGGCATGCATTAGAACTTTATTGAGGAAGACTCGTGAAAAAGGAATGAGCACAAGCAGCAGGGCCCTGGTCAGAGGTGCAAGCACAGTGACCATCAGCAGCTACGCATTTTGTGTGGGAGGTACTCCCAGAACACGGAGATCAAAGTATCCTCAGTCCATGAAGTTGATTCCAGAGCATTGTTAGCTGCTGTCAGGGGTCCTGGCGTGGGTCCTTAGCAGGGGTAGCAGGCTCTTCTGCCAGAGAAGCAGCCCAGGCCTCCCAAGCCATAGCCCCCAAAGCCAAAGCCTCCAAGGCCAAAGCCTCCGAAGCCGCCTCCAGAGATGGGCACTCCCTGGGCGCTGAGGTTGCTGCCCACGGCAGCTGATGCGGAGGATCCAACGGCGGTGTTCTGGGGGAAGGAGCTGAGGATGGGTCCTGGCAGGGTGACCAGCACAGTCGGAGGCTGGATGGCGATGTGGGAGTCCTCGCACTGCCTGACACAGGGCTCGTTGCAGCTGTTAGCCAGCGGGGTGGGTCCGCAGGGGCGGCAGATGTCGTAGCAGGACATGTCTGTGGTGTGGAGGGTCCCTGGAAGAGAGGGTATTGTGAAGGTGGAGGGTGCTGGGGGCGTGAGGACCAGTGCCTAGGTAGGCAACAGGTTGCGGGGGGGCCTGGGCTTGTGGGGAGCCTGGTGGTTGGGAGGTGCAAGGGCTGCTGGGGCTGGGAGCAGAGACTGTGTGGAGAGATGGGTCTGATGGGTAAGGAGAAGGAGGGGATCGGGGCTAAGGCTCACCTTGTTGGTCACAGGGGAGAAGGCGTCTAGTGGGGTGTGTGAGGGTGCGAGACACAGGGCCGGCTTTTATGCTGCTCCTTGGGTGCCTGCAGGGCGAGTGAACCTCTGCGCATGACAATATTTGGCGTGAGCTGCTCTTGCATGCCAAAGCCTGGCAAGTAATGAAGTTGGGGTGTGGTGTCCTTCCCACAACTTGACCTTTTCATTTCCTCCTGTTGAGGACATGGTATTAGATCCTGACGGCACCTTCAAAGTGAGAGTATTAGAGGCTGGCGCATTTCTCTGAAAGTTGCATGGGAGGGCAGGTAGATGATTTGTCGAAAGGCTGGTAGAGGTGGGGTGTCATGAGTGAGGTCTTTGCGTGGCATTCATGTGGTGTGGCCCAACCACATTGGGGTTTGTGACTGTGAGCAAGTCATTGCAGTGGAGAGCAGAGAGGGGTACAATCAACTCCCTCACTATGCAGATTACTGCTCTCTTGATGCAGCACTGAATGCAGTTGGCCTTCTGGGCTTCAGGTGTACATCTGTGGATCCTGTTGAGCCTTTCATTCACCAGAACAACCCAAGTCCTTCTCTGCAGGGCTGCTCTCAATGAGTTCTTTTCCCAGTCTATGTTCCTGTCTGGGATTGCCCCGAACCAGGTGCAGCACCTTGCACTTGGACTTGTTGAACCTCATTCAGTTCTGATTGGCCTGCTTCTCCAGCCTGTCTAGGTTCCTTTGGATGAAGATTGTTGTGTGAAGAACGGAGGAGTGTCAGGCTGGCATGCATTAGAACTTTTAGATTAGAACTATTGAGGAAGACTCATGAAAAGGATTCTTTGAGAAAGAGCTGCAGTTGAGGATTTGGTGAGCCCAAGATCCAACCTCATTCCAGAGGTTCAACCCTCATTCCATGACACTGATTGCAGTGTCTTGATGGTATTTGTCAGGGGTGGTGGCCAGAAAATCCTGATGGGAGAGTTATTCAGTTTGTGCTGACTTCTGACCCATGCAGAAGTCCCTTAGCTAGCCCAGACCTTTGGTTGGGCAACTGAAGGGCTTGTGTCACATGCCAGAAGAACAGCAGCAGCCCATTGCTGCTGTTGTCAGTGACATACTTGGTAAGCGAGGTCTTGTGTCCCTTTTCATACACTCCTACAACTCTAGAGGATCTAGACCTGTGAGGCTCTCAGTTCTCAGTGAGTTCTCAGTTTCTAAATGGCCCTGAACTTCTCAGTTTCTGAACTGAGTTTCATAACTTCTCAGTTTCTGAATGACCATGTCATTGGAGGGAGCATCAAAGCCTTTACTAAAGGCAACGTAAGCAACAGCCACAGCTCTTTCCTCATTTACCAGGAGAGTTATGTCAATGCAGAGGACACTGAGAAGGCTCAAGCATGACTTCAGTTCTCTAACTACATGCTGTAAACTCCCCTTCGCGTTCCTCTCCTTTGAGTGCTTGGCAATGCTTCCCAAGAAGATTTCCTTCCACACTTTCCCAGAGACTGATGGCAGGCCAACCAGTCTGCAGTTCCCACACCTTCCTTCTCCATCTGTTGAACATCACAGTGGGATGAGTTTCTTGCAGTCTTCAGGAACCCAGTCGCCATCAACTTTCAAAGAAAGCTGAAAGCCTTGTGAAGATATCAGCCAGGACTCTGTGGTGGTTTTACCGCGCTAGGCAGCTAAACACCACAACCTCTCTCTCACTCCCCCTCCTTAGATGAGGAAGGGAAGAAGAAAAGTAAAGAACAACACACAGGTTGAGATAAAGATAGTTTAATTAAAGGGGAAAATAATAATAATAATAAATAAGGAAAGAATATTATTAACTAAACAATCTAACTAAAGTAGAAAAAAAAAAGGAAAGGGGAAAAGGGAGGGGGAAAGGGAAAAAAAAAAAGAGAAAAAAATATAAAAATTAAGTCTATGTGGAAGTGCAGAGGAAAGAAATCACTCTCTACTTCCCTCAAATGAGCGATGCTGGACCATGTCCTTGAAGCAGGGCCTCAATGTACGTAGGCCATGTTCAGGAGGAGAACCGAAGTTATCACAATGAGAGCCCAACACTCGCTCTTCTTTTTGTTTCCATCTTTTATTGCTGAGTGTGACACCACATGGTATGGAATATCCCTTTGGCTGGTTTAAGTCAGCACCCCAGTGATGTTGCTCTTCTCACTTTTTTGCCCACCCCCTAGGAGGGTTAGAGAGAGTCCTGATGTGCCAGCACTGCTCCACCGTAGACACAGCACTGTAGTGATAACACTGCTGTTCTAGCTACAAGTGCAGAGCACAGCACTGTATGGGCTGCTGCAGGGAAAGGTAACATCCCAGCCAGACACAGTACAAACACTCAGCGTTTGTAGGTGCAACCTGACAGGTCCTGTTCACTTCAGTACATCCAGTGGCAATGCCTCCCTATATTCCAAAGCAACATGCACTACTCACCTGTTGGACAGCCTACAAAACATTCACCTTGGCTAACCAGTTGAATGTCTTCGGAGTTTTCGCTCACATGCACTAGTTCTGCCTCAAATGTCCAAATCATCTTTCAGAAAATCAAACACTGGGCAGAGAAATAGGTTTCCCCCTTGACACAAATTCCAAATATCCCCAATAACGCAATGGCTGCCAGCTGGCCATTTTTCACACTCCCTCTTCTCTTCTGCCTTTCATGAAAATCAGAACCACTCCCAGACTACACGACCCAGCCTGAGAAATCCCATCAAGCTGACTGTCAACCCTAGCATTTTCTCTAGGGACTTTAGGTTTGGAGGAAAGGAGGGGAAGCCTATGCTGTCAAGAAACAAGGCCACTGTAGGACCTATTCACCTCTCATTCCCTCTTTTCATAGCATCCTCTTCTATGCCCAATACTCTCCACTGCAGTGACATGCTCAGAGAGACAAAGCCCAGTGAAGCTGAGCCACACCACATGAACGCTACGCAAAGACCTCACTAATGACACCGCAGCTCATCCAGCCTTTGGCCACATCATCTACTCGCCCTCCCATGCACCTTTCAGAGAAATGCTCCAGCCTCTAATTCTCTCACTTTGAAGGTTCTGTCAGCATCTAACACTATGTCCTCAACAGGAGGACATGAAAAGGTCAAGTTGTGGGAAGGACACCACACCTCAACTCATTACTTGCCCGGCATTGGAATGTAAGAGCAGCTCACGCCAAATGTTGTCATGCGCAAAAGCTCTCTCGCCCTGCAGGCACTCATGGACCAGCATAAAAGCCGGCCCTGCATCTCGCTCCCTCACACACTCCTTCCAACGCCTTCTCCCCTGTGACCAACAAGGTGAGTCTGAACCCCGATCTCCTCCTTCATTCACCTCCCCACATGCTCTCTACCCCCAGCCGCAGCAGCCCTTCTGCCTCCCCAACACCATGCTCTCATAAAATCCCAGGTCTCCCTGCTCCCCTTGCCTACCTAGGCACCGCTCCACAAAACCACAACACCCTCCACCTTCCCAACACCCTCTCTTCCAGGCACCCTCCACAACACAGACATGTCCTGCTACGACATCTGCCGCCCCTGCGGACCCACCCCGCTGGCTAACAGCTGCAACGAGCCCTGTGTCAGGCAGTGCGAGGACTCCCACGTCGCCATCCAGCCTTCCACCGTGGTGGTCACCCTGCCAGGACCCATCCTCAGCTCCTTCCCCCAGAACACCGCCGTTGGATCCTCCGCATCAGCTGCCGTGGGCAGCAACCTCAGCGCCCAGGGAGTGCCCATCTCTGGAGGCGGCTTCGGAGGCTTTGGCCTGGGAGGCTTGGGAGGCTATGGCTTGGGAGGCCTGGGCTGCTTCTCTGGCAGAAGAGCCTGCTACCCCTGCTAAGGACCCACGCCAGGACCCCTGACAGCAGCTAACAATGCCCTGCAACCAACTTCATGGACTGAGGATGCTCTGATCAACGTGCTCTGGAAATACCTTCCACACAAAATGCACAGCTGCTGATGGTCACTGTGCCTGCACCTCTGACCAGGGCCCTGCTGCTTCTGCTCCTTCCTTTTCATGAGTCTTCCTCAATAAAGTTCTAATGCATGCCAGCCTGACACTCCTCCTTTCTTCACACAACGCTCTTCATTCAAAGGGACCTGGACGGGCTGGAGAAGCAGGCCCATATGAACCACATGAGGTTCAACAAGTCCAAGTGTTAAACATGGGTCAGGGCAATCCCAGACAGGAGTACAGACTGGGAGAAGAACTCATTGAGAGCAGCCCTGCAGAGAAGGACTTGGGTTGTTCTGGTGGATGAAAGGCTCAACAGGATCCAGCAATGCACGCCTGCAGCCCAGAAGGCCAACTGCATCCTGTGCTGCATCAACAGAGGACTGTCCAGCATAGTGAGGGAGTTGATTGGCCCCCTCTACTCTGCCCTTGTGAGGCCCCTCAAATGCTAGGTCAAGATATAGGTAGGGCAGGTTGAAAAATGCCACAAGAACTCCCTTACTGTTTTGGGTTTACATGGCAAGGTTTTGGTAGTAGGGTCTTCAGGGATGGGCTCTGCCATCTGCATGGGGAACCTATTCCAGTGCCAAACCACCCTCTCGGGAAAGAGCCTTTCCCTAATATCCAAGCTGAACCTGCCCTGACACAGCTTCAGGCTGGTTCCTGAGGCCCCACTGCTGCTCACTCAACTCCCTCTCCACTGCTCCCATAACAGGGCAGAAAGATCTCCATGCCCCAGGAACGTCTTCCACACACAAGGATGAGGTTTTGGTCACCCTACCTGCATCCAAGACCCATTTCCTTTCATGCTGGTCCATTCTCCAGCCTCTTCTCCCCCAGACTGGACATAGATCCAGGGTTGCCCTGTCTCAGATGGGGAATTCGCCAGTTGCCCTTGTTAAATTTCATGCTGTTGCTCATAGTCCGGCCCTCTAATTTCTCAACTTCTATGTGCGAGGCTTCTCTACTCAAAATGGAGCCCTCGGGAACTCTCACAGTGACTCCCTGCCAGGCACAGGTAACCCCATTTACAACTACACTTTGAGTCTGACCAAACGGCAAACTGCTGAACCATCTCATTAGATATTAGTCTAGCTGTGTGCTTGACGTTTTGTCCAGAAGGATATTATGAGGAACTTAATCAAATCTCAGATGAACTCCTAAGAGATTACACCTCCTGGTGGCTACACATGATAAATGAGAGGGGTAACAACAGCATAAATAAGTATTCCTGTGCCTCAAGCCCAGCACATCTGGGAAGCCCAGACCGGCCTGCAGTATGGCAATGCCAGCAAATAGGGCCCCCTCCTCACAACAATACAGCCGCAAACCACAACACACGAATGACACGCCATGACCTCACTTCATGACACCCCACCTCTCCCATGCTTTGGCCGCGTCTGCTGACTGCCCTCAAATGCACTCTCCATGCAAATCCATCCAAAGAGCCACTCTCACTTAGAAGCTGCCGCCATGGCCAAATAGACATGTCCTCAACAGGAGGAAATGAAAAGGGTGCGTTGTGGGTTGGACAAAACACCCCACCTCATTACTTGCCAGGCTTTGGAGTTTAAGAAGAGCTCACGCCAAATGTTGTCATTCGCAAAGTGTTTCTTGCCCCATGGGCACTCAAGGACCAGTATAAAAGCCGGCCCTGTGCCTCGCTCTCTCACACACTCCTCCTGAAGCCTTCTCCCCTGCGACCAAGAAGGTGAGCCCGAACCCCATTCCCATCCTTCGCCTACCCGGCCAGCCTTTTCTCCCCACACAGCCTCTCCCCCCAGCCTCAGCAGCCTTTTTCCCTCCCCAGAGCCATGCTCCCCAGAAACCTAGGCCTCTCCACTCCCTTGGCCTCCCTCAGCACTGCTCCTCACACCCCCAACACCCTCCATCTTCCCAACACCCTCTCTTCCAGGCACCCTCCACACCACAGACATGTCCTGCTACGACATCTGCCGCCCCTGCGGACCCACCCCGCTGGCTAACAGCTGCAACGAGCCCTGTGTCAGGCAGTGCGAGGACTCCCATGTCGCCATCCAGCCTTCCACCGTGGTGGTCACTCTGCCAGGACCCATCCTCAGCTCCTTCCCCCAGAACACCGCCGTTGGATCCTCCGCATCAGCTGCCGTGGGCAGCAACCTCAGCGCCCAGGGAGTGCCCGTCTCTGGAGGCGGCTTCGGAGGCTTTGGCCTTGGAGGCCTGGGAGGCTATGGCTTGGGAGGCCTGGGCTGCTTCTCTGGCAGAAGAGCCTGCTACCCCTGCTAAGGACCCACACCAGGACCCCTGACAGCAGCTAACAATGCCCTGCTACCAACTTCATGGACTGAGGATGCTCTGATCTCCGTGTTCTGGGAGTGCCTTCCACACAAAATGCGTAGGTGCTGATGGTCACTGTGCCTGCACCTCTGACCAGGGCCCTGCTGCTTTTGCTCATTCCTTTTCACGAGTCTTCCTCAATAAAGTTCTAATGCATGCCAGCCTGACTCTCCTCCTTTCTTCACCCAATGCTCTTCATCCAAAGGAACCTAGACAGGCTGGAGAAGCAGGCCAATCAGAACTGCATGAGGTTGAACAAGTCCAAATGCAGCGTGCTGCAACTGGGTCAGGGCAATTGCAGACAGGTGTACAGACTGGGAGAAGAACTCATTGAGAGCAGCCCTGCAGAGAAGGACTTGGGTTGTTCTGGTGGATGAAAGGTTTGAACAGGACCCAGCAGTGCACAACTGCAGCCCACAAAGCCCACAGCATCCTGGGCTGCATCAACAGAGGTGTGACCTTCAGGTCAAGGGAGGTGATTGTTCCCCTCTACTCTGCCCTTATGGGGCCCCACATGGAGTACTACCTGAAGCTTTATGGCCCACAGCACCAGGGCGAATGGTCTCCAAATAAAGAGGATAGATTTAGACTAGACATTAGGAGGAAATTCTTCAGTGTGAGGGTTGTGAGGCACTGGAACAGGGTGCCAAGAGAAGTAGTAGATGGCCCATCTCTGGAGGTGTTCAAGGCCAGGCTACATGGGGCCTTGGCCAGACTGATCTGGTGGGTGCCATGCCTGCCTATGGCAGGGCTTTGGAGTTAGGAGATCCTTATATTCCCTTCCAAGACAAGCCATTCTGTGATTCTATGATGATTCCTACTTCACCCTGTACAAATGCAGGAGAGAAGAGGCAGCGGCCCGTGGAGAGCCCCTGCAGGAATAGGCCCCTGGGACAGAGCTGCAGGTTGTGGAGAGGAGCCCACGCAGGAGCAGGGGATCTGGGGAGAGCTGCTCCCTGTGGAGGACCCATGCTGGAGCAGTTTGCTCCTGATATATGAACCCTGTGGTACGGAGTCATATTGAAGCTGTTCTTGAAGAGCTGCTGCCTGTGGGAAGCCCACATAGGCTCGGTTCAGGAAGGATGGCGTCCTGTGGGAAGGACCCTTGTGGAGCAGGCACAGAGAGGGACTATGAAGGAACGGCAGACACGAAGCAACAAGAACTGACTGCAGCCCACATTGGTCCTTCCCCTACGCCGCTCAAGTGGAGGATGTGGAATGGGGTGGATGAAGTAGATATCTTTAGTTTGTTTGTGTTTTGCTTCTTTCTCACTGCTCTAGCTTGTTAGTAATAGATAACATGTTTTATTTATCTCCCTGTGCTTGAGCTTGTTTTGACCATGACTAACACTGCTGAGTGATCTCCCAGTTCTTATGTCAACCCTTGAGCCCTTTTCATTGTATTTTCTCCCTCTTTCCCTTTGAGAAGGGGTAGTGAGAAAGCAGTTATGGCAGAGCTCAGCTGCCCAGCCAGGTGAAGCCACCACACCTGGCAAGGATGTCACCAACATCACCACAAGTGGGCACCACCTGGGCTTCCAGCGCATCACCCAAGACCTACATGTGCCGAGCTAAAGCCTTGGGCACATTAAGGCTCTTCTGCCTATGTCCTCTGAAGCAATCTGCCCATGTCAGCACATCCTTGACTGCTTTCTTCTGCAACATCATCCTACACCTTCACAACAAACACTATCACGTAGTCATGTATGTGACATACATGTAAGACATCAGTCAATTCTACGTAGAAGACTCTGCGGAGGCACACATGGAATTTGCTCTTTATAAATCCATGCTGACTGTTCTCCATCACTTCTCTGTGCTTGAAAATACATTCTGGGAGGATTTCCTTCAGAGCCTTTCCAGATACCTTGAGAAACAAGGTTGTGTTTTTGCAAGAGAAGGTGTTTTCACACCATAAAATTTCACTAAACTTGCATATTCAAAAGCGATTGGGCAGGCATGACAGTAGCTTTACAGTGGGGAGTATGGTAAGAACATAAGGGGAAGGTTCTACTGTCCCAAAATAAGCAGGATAGCTAGAAAAATAGGACGAGCAGTGCAAAATCAGTAAAAACAAAAAATTGCAATCCCTCTGGTCATGAAAGAAGAAAGGGAAAAAAATGAAAAAGCGAAATTAAAGTTTGGTAAAATAAAATTGGACATATATGGTATAGAAAGGCGTCAAGTAGCTTGTGACCTGTAGTATGCATCCAGTGAGGAAACAGGGGAGAAACAAGGCGTTAGGTACTAGGGAATGCAAGCGATTATGATATACTTTTCCAGCGTACTCCTGCTCGCAGGATGCACGCCATTGCAATCGCAAATAAAATAGCTTCACAGAAGACACTGTCTGGGAAAATTATTGAGATTTTTATCACAACACAGATGTCAGCCTGCCCAGGCTGCACTTTCACAGAAATTCCTACTTCATCTGCTCTCAAACAGAAGAACGGGATGACTCTCTTACAGTTTTCAGGAACCTCTCCCAGTCACCATGACCTTTCAAAGAAAACTGAAACTGCTATTGCAAACATATCACCTGGGACATTCAGCATTTGCATGTCTAGCTCGTTGGGTCCCACAAACTCCTGCATAACCAGTTACACAGACTCCCCAGCATCTTCGTCAACAAGCTGCAGTGGGAAACCCTTCAAAACAGTCACCTTGGCAGATCAGGGGCTGCACTTGCCATCCCCCCACTCCTCAGAAAGCAACCACGACCACTGGGGCCTCAGGTGCAGAGCCACAAGCAGCATGCACACCTCCAGCTCCCCTCTGAAACGTCCACATTGTATGAGTCAACACTGAAAACCATGCACAGAAATTGCGTTCCCCCTTGAAACTCACCTCAAAGAAGACCCCAGTGCTTTGGGCCCAGACCTTCTGGACACTCCCACATGTCTGTCCCTGCCCCTCACAAGTCTCACAGCCTCTCCCAGGCCTCAACAGAAAGCATGAGGGATTCCCACCAAACTGCATTAGGCCAAAGCCCTTGCTGTCAAAGTGCTGGCCACAGAAAAGGGAGCTCAATGGAGGTGCCAACACAACCCTTTGGGAAGCATGGCAGGGCTCCCAATGCACTTAGTCTTGTCAGCCCTGAGACAGGCCCGCGACTACAACACCCTGCTATGCAAACACCTCTTCTCTGCCTCTTTGGACTGCGGCCCCAGGGACAACACAGGGGTCTTGCTCCCACATACGGCCTCTACGTGCACGATTGCCACCATGCCACCAATGTAGCACACCCAACGGGAAAGACAAGGGCTAAACGCAGGCTGGTGAGTTGGGATGAAGGCATGGAGGGAGTGAATGTGATGCAAGTGGTAGTGCATCACACCCAGCATACCTGAGAAGCACTGGCCAACCTACTGGGGATGCCAACAAGGGGGGCCTCCTCCTCACAACAAAGCCACCGACCACACCTCATAAGTGCCAAACTATGACCTCATGGACAACAACGCACCTCTCCCATGTCATACATGCACCATCTATCCACCCCTACATGAACCTTCAAAAGCTATCCTTCGGTCTTTAATACTCTCACTTGAAATGTTCCGCCACTTCCAACAACCTCAACAGGAAGAAATGGAGGCAGAACATTGTGGGGAGATCACACCCCACATCATTACTTGAGGGGTTGTGGCATGTAAGAGCAGCTCACGCCAAATACTGTCATGCGCAAAGGCTCTCTCGCCTCACGGATACTTGGGGACCAGCATAAAAGCCGGCCCTGCACCTCGCACCCTCACACACTTCTCCTGAGGCTTTCTCCCCTGCACCCAACAAGGTGAGTCTGAACTCTGCTCCGCTCCTTCACCCACCACACCTTGCCCATCTCTCCACCAACCTTCTGTCCCCAGCCTCAGCAGCCCTTCCACCTCCCAACCACCAGGCTCTCCATAGCCCCACTCTGGGCCTTTCCACTCCCTTGGCCTAACCCAGCACTGCTCTTCATGCCACCAACACCCTCCGACTTTACAATACCCTCTCTTCCAGGCACCCTCCACACCACAGACATGTCCTGCTACGACATCTGCCGCCCCTGCGGACCCACCCCGCTGGCTAACAGCTGCAACGAGCCCTGTGTCAGGCAGTGCGAGGACTCCCACATCATCATCCAGCCTCCGACCGTGCTGGTCACCCTGCCAGGACCCATCCTCAGCTCCTTCCCCCAGAACACCGCCGTTGGATCCTCCGCATCAGCTGCCGTGGGCAGCAACCTCAGCGCCCAGGGAGTGCCCATCTCTGGAGGCGGCTTCGGAGGCTTTGGCCTGGGAGGCCTGGGCTGCATCTCTGGTGGAAGAGCCTGCTACCCCTGCTAAGGGTCCCATGCCAATATCCCTGACAGTAGCCTCCAACACCATGCCAGCCAGATCTCAATCTGAGGATCCAACTCCGTGCTGTTCATGGCGTACGAGCTGACAAGCCACAGCTCATCATAGCACGGCACAACAAAGCAAGCAAGCAAGGTATGGGACAGCTCTTGCTGTCAGGAAACATGGCCAACATACCTCCTTCTTTCTTCCTCTTTCTCCTTTCCATAGCACCACTACCTATGGCTGCTGCAATGCCTTGCTCACTAGCACAGTCCCTCAGGAAACCTTCAGGGGCTGCTCCCACCATGGGTAGGGAGACCTGAGGGCTCTGGGAAAATCTGCTCTACGCAAGGACATTGGCTGGTGGTCACCCTCTAGCACCCCAGAATGTGCACCTTCCAGTTGATTTTCCCTCTGTTTCATGTTTTCCTCAATAAAATCAATCTGCATCCCATATCTGAAAGCCTCCTCTTTTTTTTAATCGTAATGCTCTTCCAACTTCACCCGACAGAAAGAAAAAAAAGCAGGGCTCAAGTGGCCATCAGGGCCCAAGCCTGGTGGTATACAAATAGCGTTTGGAAAACGCTCTTACATAGCTTCTTCCTGCTGAAGTAAAAAGACATGATGGGCAGATCCTTAACTGCATGATCACATTCGAAGAGTTGCTCTCAAGAGCTTAGTGCCCACCTGGAGACAAGGGAGGCATGGTGTCCCTTTAGGGTCTCTCTTAAGGCCTGTATTATTTAACACGTCTGTCACACAGACACCTCACATATGGTGTGAGACTCCTCATGCATTGTGGATGCAACTTTGCATTGCCACTGACCCACTGGGTCATTAGCTCCACAACCACAGCTATTTCTTTTAAGGCATGAAACAGAGAATGAAGGACGTAGACTATTCCGCGATGTTTGGAAACATGGCCCACTTACATTCTACCATTCTCCTACTTCTTTCCTTGGCTTGCACTGTCTCCCACGTGCAGTACGCTCTGCTGCTATGATATGCTCACAAGCGAAACACCACCGCCAAACACCACCAGGGATCGACTCCCTCTCCGCTGCTCCCATCACAGGGCAGGAAGTTCTCCGTGGTCCGGGAAAATCTTCCACACACAAGGATGAGATTTTGGTCACCCTACCTGCATCCAAGACCCCCAGGGGCTGTTCCACTTGATGCTCCTTCCTTTCCATGCACTTTCCTCAATAAAAGTCTCAAGCCTGCCAGCCTGACGCACCTCCTCTTCCCTTCATCTTCCCACTTCCCTCACTACAAAGCCAAAGCTCAAGAGGTCATCGGGATAGGTCAAAAAGGGCCACAACACCTTAAAATACATCACCCAAGAACTACAAGTGACCAAACACGGGCTTCATCATGCTATGGTTCTTCTCCCCATGCCTTCTGAAACAATTTCCCCTCATTAGCACACCCTACCACTACTTTCTTCTCTACTATAATCCTACACCATCACAACAAACACTATCTCAGAATGATATAGTCAGAAAGGACATCTTGACACCGGGTAGGGCAACAGCTGTGGTCAAGAAAGGTCAGCAGGCTGTCCAGGACCATGTGCAGTGGCATGCTGCCTCTTTTCAGACCACCCCACTGTTTGTTTGTGTAACCCGTACTTGTCAGCTTCTCTGCGAGCGTGTCATGGGAGCAAGCATCAAAGTCTTTCCTAAAGGTAAGGTAAGCAACAGTTGTTGCTCTCCCCTTGTGCACCCAGCAGGTCACTTCCATGTAGAAGACACTGAGAAGGCTCCAGTATGATCTACTCTTCATAGATCCATGCTGACTACTCCCCATCTCTTTCTTGCCATTCATGTGCTTGTCGTGTGCAGCCAGAACCCTCACCTTCTTTGGGTGCACCCCATCAGATCCTGATTACTTCTGCATATCCAGATGTACAACCTACCCATCTGCCTCTACAAGAAGCTCTGCTCACCTGAGAGACAGCCTGCTAAACACTCACCTCAGCTGCCCTCAAGCAGGCCTTGCCATCATTCCTCCCTTTGGAATGCAAACACCAGCACAAGGTCTACTAATCTGGATGCCTCCAGCTCCCCTCTGAAATATCCAGATCCTCTTTCTGACCATCAAACATGGGGCAGAAAAATAGCTGTCACCTTGACACTCACCCTAAAGAAGACCCCCAACACCCGGGCTCCCCAGCTAGCCCTTCCCCACAGTTCCACTCCCTCAGCCTCTCATGAGTCTCAAGCTATCTTGCAGGAATTCCCAAGCAACCCAAGGGGCCCCTATCAAGCAGTCTGTTGGGCCAAAGCCTAGCCTGGGAACATGCTGGAACCAGCAAAGGGAAGCGCTACGGAGTGGCCAAAGCAACTCTTTGAGAAGAATGGCAGGACTGCTGACATCAAAGGGCTTGCGAGCTCAGTACCAGGCCGCAGGGGACAACAGCCTGCTCTCACAAACAGCCCTCTCCTGCCTGCTTGGGCAGCCACCCACAGGGATGGCCCCAGGTTTGCGCAAGACAAAGCAGGCAGCTTCCTTTCTCCCACCTACAACCTTCCAAGCACCACGGCCACCAAGCCACCGATACAGCACACCCAACGGGAAAGACAAGGGTAAAGACTGGCTTAGCGAGTTGTTAGAAAGGCGGGGAGGCAGCAAATGCGATGGAATCATGGAATCCCAGAATAGACCAAGTTGTGAGGGACCCACAAGGAACATTGTGTCCAACTAGTGGCTCCACACAGGACTACCCAAAAATCAAACTACATTTCTGAGAGTGTTGTCTCGTGTTGCAGCAGGCTTGGTGCTCTGATGGTTTCCATGGTGAACCTGCACAACCACCCTCTCAGGAAATAGCCTTTCCCTAATATCCAAGCTGAACCTGCCCTGACACAGCTTCAGGCTGTTCCCTCAGGCCCCACTGCTGCTCACCAGACAGAAGAGATCAGCGCCTGTCCTCCGCTGCCCTTGTGAGGAAGCTGTAGGCTCTGGTCAGGTCTCCTCTTCTCTGGGCTCAACAAACCAAGATCCTACAGCCACTCCTCATACATCCTGCCCTCTAAACCCTTCACCATCTCTGTAGTTCTCCTTTTGACAATCTCTAAGAGTTTTGTGTCGTTAGATTGCGGTGACCAATTCTGTACACAGCACTTGAGGGAAGGCCGCACCAGTGCGCAGTAGAGCGGGACAATCACTTCCTTTGACCTGCTAGCAATGCTGTGCTTGATGTAACCCAGGAAACGGGGAACTTTGGCTGCCAGGGCACCCTGTTGACTCTCAGTCCACTTGCTGTCACCCAGAACCCCCATGTCCTTTCATGCTGGGCCGTTCTCCAGCCTCTCCTCCCCCAGTCTGGACATAGATCCAGGGTTGCCCTGTCTCAGATGGAGAATTCGCCAGTTGCCCTTCTTCAATTTCACGCTGTTGCTCATAGCCCGGCCCTCTAATTTCTCAACATCTATGTGCGAGGCTTCTCTACTCAAAATGGAGCCCTCAGGAACCCCCAGAGTGACTCCCTGCCAGGCACAGGTAACCCCATTTACAACTACACTTTGAGTCTGACCAATCAGCCAACTGCTGAACCATCTCATTAGATATTAGTCTAGCTGTGTGCTTGACTTTGTCTGGAAGGATATTCTGAGGAACTTAATCAAATCTTTGCTGAACTCCTAAGAGATTACATCTACTGGTGGCTACACATTATAAATGAGGGGTAACATCATCATAAATAAGTGTGCCGGTGTCTCACGCCCAGCAATTCTGGGAAGCCCAGACCAGCCTGCAGTATGGCGATGCCAGCAAATAGGGCCCCCTCCTCACAACAATGCAGCCGCAAACTGCACCACACGAGTGACACGCCATGACCTCATTTCATGACACCCCACCTCTCCCATGCTTTGGCCGCGTCTGCCGACTGCCCTCAAATGCACTCTCCATGCAAATCCATCCAAAGAGCCACTCTCACTTAAAAGATGCCACCAAGGCAAATAGACATGTCCTCAACAGGAGGTAATGAAAAGGGTGCGTTGTGGGAAGGACACCACACCTCACCTCATTACTTGCCAGGCTTTGGCATGCAAGAGCAGCTACGCCAAATGCTGTCATTCACAAACGGTTTCTTGCCCCGCGGGCACTCAAGGACCAGCATAAAAGCCAACCCTGCACCTCGCACCCTCACACACTCCTCCAGACGCCTTCTCCCCAGCGCCCAACAAGGTGAGTCTGAACCCCGACCCCCTCCTTCACCCACCCCACCGGCCCTATCTCTCCACTTGCCCTCTGCCTCCACACTTAGCAGCCCTTCCACCTCCCCAACACCATGCTCCCCACAAACACAGGCCTCCCCACTCTCTTGGCCTTCCCCACCACCACTCCTCACACCCCCAACACCCTCCGCCTTCCCAACACCCTCTCTTCCAGGCACCCTCCACACCACAGACATGTCCTGCTACGACATCTGCCGCCCCTGCGGACCCACCCCGCTGGCTAACAGCTGCAACGAGCCCTGTGTCAGGCAGTGCGAGGACTCCCGCGTCGTCATCCAGCCTCCTGCCGTGCTGGTCACCCTGCCAGGACCCATCCTCAGCTCCTTCCCCCAGAACACCGCCGTTGGATCCTCCGCATCAGCTGCCGTGGGCAGCAACCTCAGCGCCCAGGGAGTGCCCATCTCTGGAGGCGGCTTCGGAGGCTTTGGCCTTGGAGGCCTGGGCTGCATCTCTGGTGGAAGAGCCTGCTACCCCTGCTAAGGACCCATGCCAACACCGCTGACAGAAGCCTGCATCACCGTGCAAGCCAGAACTCAAACTGAGGATTCACCTCTGCACTGTTCGAGGCACATGGGCTCACCAGCCACGGCTCTTCTTCTCATGGCACTCCACACTCTAGCAGGGAAGGGGGCCAGTCCGTGCTGCCTGGACACATGGCTCACGGACAGCCCATCCTCTCTCATTTCCTTCTATTCCTACCACCATCTTCCATGTCCAGTACTCTCCCCTGCAATGGCTTGCTCACAGCCACAAACCCACCCAGCACCTTCCATGTGTTGATTCTATTGCAGTGGAGGAAGACCTTGGGGCTCTGGGAAAAGCTGTTGTACCATGGGACACAGCCTGATGGTTGCACTACTTGCACCACACAACAGGTCCATTCTGCTCTCATACCTTTGCACTCTTTTTCCACAATAAAGTTCTTGTGCATGTCAGCCTGTGATGCCTCCTCTTCCTTTCTGCTCCCAACACTCCTTCTAATTTACTCAACATTAGCAGGACTTGCCAGGCCAGCAGGGCCCAAGTCTGTTGTTGTTCAAGGAGCCTCTTGACAGCACTCATACATATAGCGTTGTTTTAAAACAAGAAGTGTCATAGATTTGACAGAAGGACCACATAGCATAAAACACATTGGCTGGATGAGCACATTCAAGGAGAAGCAGCCAACATCCCTATGCCCAGGTAAAGACCAGGGTGGAGTGTTATCTCACAGGAGTCTGTCCTGGGACCAGTTTTATTTCACCTCCTCATCCCTGACATACACGGTGGGATTGAGCGGGCCCTCGGCAAGTTTGTGCATGGCACCAAGCTCTATGGGGTGGCCCACACCTTAGAGGAAAGGATTGCCAGCTACAAACACAGGCTGAGAGAGACGGGCTTGGTCAGCCTGGGGAAGAGAAGGCTCCAGGAGACGGTATAGAGGCCCTCTAGTACTTAGAAGAGGCTACAGGAAAGGTGGGGGGGAACTCTTGATCAGGGCGTGTAGTGATATGACAAGTGTTAACAGCTTTAACCTAAAAGAGAGTAGATTTAGATTAGATATAAGGAAGAAATTCTTCACCCTGAGGATGGTGAGCTAAAGGGACACAAGACTTCTACCAAGTATGTCACTGACAACAGCAGCAATGGGCTGCTGCTGTTCATCTGGCATGTGACACAAGCCCTTCACTTGCCCAACCAAAGCTCTGGGCTAGCTAAGGGACTTCTGCATGGGTCAGAAGTCAGCACACACTGAGTATCTCTCTTTCCCATCAGGATTTTCTGGCCACCATGGCTGACAAATACCATCAAGACACTGCAATCAGTGTCATGGAATGAGGGTTGTACCTCTGGGATGAGGCTGGATCTAGGGCTCACCAGTTCCTCAATACCGGCTCTTTCTCAAAAAATCCTGTACTTTCTAATTTTCTGAATGGCCATGACATAGGAGAGAGCATCAAAGCCTTTACTAAAGACAACGTAAGCAACAGCCGCGGATCTTCCCTCACCTACCAGGAGAGTTATTTCAATGTGGAAGACACTGAGAAGGCTCAAGCATGCCTTCAGTTCTCTAACTCCATGCTGAATACTCCCCTTCACGTTCTTCTCCTTTGTGTGCTTGGCAATGCTTCCCAAGAAGATTTCCTTCCGTACCTTCCCAGAGACTGATGGCAGGCCAACCAGCCTGCAGTTCCCCACACCTTCCTTCTCCATCTTGTTCAGCATAGGAGCAGGATGAGTCTCTTGCAGTCTTCAGGAACCCAGTCGCCATCAACTTTCAAAGAAAGCTGAAAGCCTTGTGAAGATATCAGCCAGGACTCTGTGGTGGTTTTACCGCGCTAGGCAGCTAAACACCACAACCGCTCTCTCACTCCCCCTCCTTAGATGAGGAGGGGAAGAACTGAAGAACAACTCACTAGTAGAGATAAAAATAATTTAATTAAAGGGAAAAACTAATGATAATTCATATTAAGGAAAGATAATTATTAACTAAACAATTTAATTAAAGGAAAAAAAAAAAAAGGAAAGGGGAAATGGGAGGAGGAAAGGGAAAAAAATAAATAAATAAATAAATAAATAAATAAATAAATAAATAAATAAAGGCTTTGTGGCAGTGCAGAGGAAAGAAATTACTCTCTACTTCCCTCAAATGAGTGAAGCTTGACCACATCCTTGAAGCAGGGCCTCACCTTGAAGCAGGGCCTCAACGCACGTAGCCGGTGTTTGGGAGGAGGACCGACGTTTTCACAATGAGAGCCCAACAATCTGCTCTTCTTCCTGTTTCCATTTTTATTGCTCAGTGTGACATCATACGGTATGGAACATCCCTTTGCCTCGTTTAAGTCATCTGCCCTGGTGATGTTTCTCTTCTCACTTTTTTGTCCACCCCCTAGGAGGCTTAGAGAGAGTCCTGATGTGCCAGCACTGCTCCGCCGTAGACACAGCACTGGTGTGATAACACTGCTGTTCTAGCTACAAGTGCAGAGCACAGCACTGTATGGGCTGCTGCAGGGAAAGGAAACATCCCAGCCAGACACAGGACAGACTCTCAGCATTTGTAGGTGCAACCTGACAGGTCCGGTGCACGTCAGTACATCGAGTGACAAAGCTTCTCCGTCTTGCTCAGCAACGTGCACTACTCACCCGAGAGACAGCCCACGAAACACTCACCTTGGCTAACCAGTGAAAGGCCTTGATGTTCATTCACCCTTTGCAGGTTTAGCTCACATGCCTCCAGTTTCTGTCTGAAATGTCCAAATCATCTTCCAGAAAATTAAACACTGGGCAGAGAAATAGATTTCCCCCTTGACACAAATCCCAAATAGCATCCCCAGTTATATGATGGCTACCAGTTGGCCCTTTCTCATAGTCCATCTTGTCCTCTGCCTTTCATGAACCTCTGGGCCGCTCACAGACCACCCCACCCAGCCCGAGAAATCCCATCAAGCAGAATGTCAAGCCTTGTATTCTCTGGGGACTTCAGATGTGGAGGAAAAGGGGAAACATGGAAAAGTCAGAAAACACAGACAGTGTAGAACCTACTCACCTCTCGTTCCTTCTTTTCATAGCACCCGCTTCGATACCCGATGCTGTCCACTGCAATAACTTGCTGACAGCCACAAAGTCCAATATGGCTGGGCCACACCACATGAATGCCACGCAAAGACCTCACTCATGACACCGCACCTCAACCAGTCTTTGGACACATCACCTACCTGCCCTCCCATGCCACTTTCAGAGAAATGCTCCAGCCTCTAATTCTGTCACTTTGAAGGTGCCGTCAGGATCTAACACCATGTCCTCACTAGGAGGACATGAAAAGGTCAAGTTGTGGGAAGGACACCACACCCCACCTCATTACTTGCAAGTCTTTGGCATTTCAGAGCAGCTCACGCCAAATGATGTCATGCGCAGAGGCTCTAACATCCCGCGGGCACTCATGGACCAGCATAAAAGCCGGCCCTGCACCTCGCTCCCTCACACACTCCACCAGACGCCTTCTCCCCTGTGACCAACAAGGTGAGCCTTAGCCCCGATCCCCTCCTTCCCCTGACCCATCGGACCCACCTCTCCACACATCTTCTGTCCCCAGCCCCAGCAGCCCTTCTGCCTCCCCTCCACCATTCTCCCTAAAAACACAGGCCTCCCCATTCTCTTTACCTTCCCGATCACTGCTCCTCACACCCACAACACCCACCGCCTTTCCAACACCCTCTCTTCCAGGCACCCTCCACACCACAGACATGTCCTGCTACAACCTCTGCAACCCCTGCGGACCCACCCCGCTGGCTAACAGCTGCAACGAGCCCTGTGTCAGGCAGTGCGAGGACTCCCACGTCGCCATCCAGCCTTCCACCGTGGTGGTCACCCTGCCAGGACCCATCCTCAGCTCCTTCCCCCAGAACACCGCCGTTGGATCCTCCGCATCAGCTGCCGTGGGCAGCAACCTCAGCGCCCAGGGAGTGCCCATCTCTGGAGGCGGCTTCGGAGGCTTTGGCCTGGGAGGCTTGGGAGGCTATGGCTTGGGAGGCCTGGGCTGCTTCTCTGGCAGAAGAGCCTGCTACCCCTGCTAAGGACCCACGCCAGGACCCCTGACAGCAGCTAACAATGCCCTGCAACCAACTTCATCGACTGAGGATGCTCTGATCTCCGTGCTCTGGGAGTACCTTCCACACAAAATGCGTAGGTGCTGATGGTCACTGTGCCTGCACCTCTGACCAGGGCCCTGCTGCTTGTGCTCCTTCCTTTTCACGAGTCTTCCTCAATAAAGTTCTAATGCATGCCAGCCTGACACTCCTCCTTTCTTCACCCAATGCTCTTCATTCAAAGGGACCTGGACGGGCTGGAGAAGCAGGCCCATGTGAACCACATGAGGTTCAACAAGTCCAATTGTTAAACGTGGGTCAGGGCAATCCCAGACAGAAATACAGACTGGGAGAAGAACTCATTGAGAGCAGCCCTGCAGAGAAGGACTTGGGTTGTTCTGGTGAATGAAAGGCTCAACAGGATCCAGCAGTGCATACCTGCAGCCCAGAAGGCCAACTGCATGCAGTCCTGCATCAACAGAGGATTGGCCAACATAGAGAGGGAGTTGATTTTCCCCCTCTTTTTTGTTCTCATGGGACACCAGCTTGAGCACCTCTCCTGTGAAAGAAGGCTCAGAGAGCTGGGGATATTCAGCCAGGAGAAGTGAAGGCTCTGCTGAGACTTCCTGGAGATCTTCCAGTACTTAATGGGTTGTTCTTAAAAAGTTGGAGAATGTCTCTTTACTCATGTAGATAATGATAGGTGAAAGGGTCATGGTCTTAAACTAAAAGAGGATAGATTTAGGCTAGATATTAGGAGGAAATGCTTCACTGTGAGGATGGTGAGGATATTGTGGTTAACCACAACAGGTAAGTTGTGGTTACCCCAGCCCCAGTGGTGTTCAAGGCCAGCCTGGATGGGACCTTGGCCAACATAATGTAGTGGGTGGCCTCCTTGCCTATGGCCGGCGGCTGGAGTAAGATGATCCTTAAAGTCCCTTCCAAGGTGAGCCATTCTATGATGATTCCTTCTTGACCCTGTTTAAGTACATGGTTCTAGTTCAGGTCAAAAAGTGCCACAAGACCTCCTCTATTGTGCTGTTTTTATGTGGCAAACTTTTGGTAGTGGGGACTACAGGGGAGGCCTCTTGGAGATGAATTCATAAATTGCCCCATGTTTGATAAGGACCTGTTTCAGCCATCTACAAAGGGACCTACCACTGTCCAGCGCCGAGCCAATAATCGATGTTGTTTGTGCCTCTCTGATCCTCCATCTTCAGAACAAACACTATCACAGAGTCCTACATATAGGTAGGCCGTCAGTCACTTCTACGTAGAAGATGCTGTGCAGGCACACATGGGATATGCTCTCTATAAATCCATGCTGACTACTCTCCATCACTTTTCTGTACCTGAGAATACATTCAGGGAGGATTTTCTCAGAACCTTCCCAGAGGCTGATATCAGGCTATCCAGACTGCAGTTTCCCAGAAATTCATCCTTCAACTTTTCTTGAACAAAAGAGTGGGATGAGTCTCTTCCAGCTTTCAGGAACCTCTCCCAGTCACCATGACCTTTCAAAGAAAACTGAAACTGCAATTGCAAACATATCACCTGGGACATTCAGTGTTTGCAGGTGTAGCTCATTGGGTCCCACAAACTTCTGCTTAACCAGTTACACAGACTCCCCAGCATCTTCATCAACAAGCTCCAGTGAGACAGCGTACAAAACAGTAACCTTGGCAGATCAGGGGCTGCACTTGCCATTCCCCACTCCTCAGAATGCAACCACGACCACTGCGGCCTCAGGTGCACAGCCACAAGCAGCATGCACACCTCCAGCTCCCCTCTGAAACGTCCACATCGTACGAGTCAACATTGAACACCACACAGAGAAATAGACTTCCCCTTTGACACTCACCCCAAAGAACACCCCAGTGCTTTGGGCCCAGACCTTCTGGACACTCCCACATGTCTGTCCCTGCCCCTCACAAGTCTCACAGCCTCTCCCAGGCCTCAACAGACAGCCCAAGGGATTCCCACCAAACTGCATTAGGCCAAAGCCCTTGCTCTCAACGTGCTGGCCACAGAAAAGGGAGCTCAATGGAGGTGCCAAAGCAACACTTGAAGAAGCATGGCAGGGCTCCCAATGCACTTAGTCTTGTCAGCCCTGAGACAGGCCCGCGACTCCAACACCCTGCTATGCAAACACCTCTTTGCCTCTTTGGACTGCGGCCCCAGGGACAACACAGGGGTCTTGCTCCCATACACTTGCTCCCACATACAGCCTCTACGTGCAAGATGGCCACCAAGCCACCAATGAAGCACACCCAACGGGAAAGACAAGGGCTAAACACAGGCTGGTGAGTTGGGATGAAGGCACGGAGGGAGTGAATGTGAAGCAAGTGGTAGCGCATCACGCCCAGCATACCTCAGAAGCACCTGCCAGATTGATGGATATGCCAACAAGGGGGGCTTCCTCCTCACAACAAAGCCACCAACCACACCTCATGAGTGCCAAACCATGACCTCATGGACAACAATGCACCTCTCCCATGTCTTGAAAGCAACATTTATCCACCCCTACATGAACCTTCAAAAGCTATCCTTTGGTCTTTAATACTCTCACTTGAAATGTTCCGCCACTTCCAACATCCTCAACAGGAAGAAATGGAGGCAGAACATTGTGGGGAGATCACACCCCACCTCATTACTTGAGGGGTTGTGGCATGTAAGAGCAGCTCACGCCAAGTGCTGTCATGCGCAAAGGCTCTCTCACCCCTCGGGCACTCAAGGACCAGTATAAAAGCCGGCCCTGCGCCTCACACCCTCACACACTTCTCCTGACACTTTCTCCCCTGCACCCAACAAGGTGAGTCTGAACTCTGCTCCACTCCTTCACCCACCACACCTTGCCCATCTCTCCACAAACCTTCTGTCCCCAGCCTCAGCAGCCCTTCCACCTCCCAACCACCAGGCTCTCCATAGCCCCACTCTGGGCCTTTCCACTCCCTTGGCCTACCCCAGCACTGCTCTTCATGCCACCAACACCCTCCGACTTTACAATACCCTCTCTTCCAGGCACCCTCCACACCACAGACATGTCCTGCTACGACATCTGCCGCCCCTGCGGACCCACCCCGCTGGCTAACAGCTGCAACGAGCCCTGTGTCAGGCAGTGCGAGGACTCCCACGTCGCCATCCAGCCTCCTACCGTGCTGGTCACCCTGCCAGGACCCATCCTCAGCTCCTTCCCCCAGAACACCGCCGTTGGATCCTCCGCATCAGCTGCCGTGGGCAGCAACCTCAGCGCCCAGGGAGTGCCCATCTCTGGAGGCGGCTTCGGAGGCTTTGGCCTGGGAGGCCTGGGCTGCATCTCTGGCGGAAGAGCCTGCTACCCCTGCTAAGAGTCCCATGCCAATATTCCTGACAGTAGCCTTCAACTCCATGCCAGTCAGCTCTCAGTCTGAGGACCCAACTCCGTGCTGTCCATGGCGTACGAGCTGACAAGCCACAGCTCGTCATTCCATGGCACAACAAAGCAAGCAAGCAAGGTATTGGACAGCCCTTGCTGTCAGGAAACATGGCCAACATACCTCCTTCTTTCTTCCTCTTTCTCCTTTCCATAGCACCACCACCTTTGGCAGCTGCAATGCCTTGCTCACTAGCACAGTCCCTCAGCAAACTTTCATGGGCTGCTCCCACCATGGGATAGGGAGACCTTGGGCTCTGGGAAAATCTGCTCTACGCAAGGACATTGGCTGGTGGTCACCCTCCAGGCACCTCAGAATGTGCACCTTCCACTTGATGTTCCCTCTGTTTCATGTTTTCCTCAATAAAATCAATCTGCATCCCATATCCTGAAAGCCTCGTCTTCCTTTCTTCTCCCAATGCTCTTCCAACTTCACCCGACAGAAAGAAAAAAAAGCAGGGCTCAAGTGGCCATCAGGGCCCAAGCCTGGTGGTATACAAATAGCGTTTGGAAATCGCACTTACATAGCTCCTTCCTGCTGAAGTGGAAAGACATGATGGGCAGATCCTTAACTGGCTGCATGATCACATTCCAAGAGTTGCGCTCAAGAGCTTGGTGCCCAGCTGGAGACAAGGGAGGCATGGTGTCCCTTTAGGGTCTCTCTTAAGGCCTGTATTATTTAACACGTCTGTCACAGAGACACCTCACATATGGTACAAGACTCCTCGTGGATTGTGGATGCAACTTTGCATTGTCACTGAGCCACTGGGTCATTAGCTCCACAACCACAGCTATTTCTTTCAAGGCATGAACCAGAGAAGGAAGGACGTGGGCTATTCCGCGATGTTTGGAAACATGGCCCACTTACATTCTACCATTCTCCCACTTCTTTCCTTGGCTTGCACTGTCTCCTATGTCCAGTTCTCTCTGCTGCTACGACGTGCTCACAAGCCAAACACCACCAGGGATCGACTCCCTCTCTGCTGCTTCCATCACAGGGCATGAAGTTCTCCGTGCTCCGGGAAAGCCTGCCGCACACAAGGATGAGATTTTGGTCACCCCGCCTGCATCTAAAACCGCCAGGGGCTGTTCCACTTGCTTCTCCTTCCTTTCCATGCACTTTCCTCAATAAAAGTCTCAAGCCTGCCAGCCTGACGCAACTCCTCTTCCCTTCTTCCCACTTCCTTCACCACAAGGCCAAAGCTCAAGAAGTCATCGGGATAGGTCAAAAAGGGCAAAAACACCTTAAAATATATCACCCAAGAACTTCAAGTGACCAAACACGGTCTTCATCATGCTAAGGCTCTTCTCCCCATGCCTTCTGAAACAATTTCCCCTCATTAGCACACACTACCACTGCTTTCTTCTCTACTATGATCCTACACTGTCACAACAAACACTATCTCAGAATGATATAGTCAGGAAGGAAACTCTTGACACCGGGTAGGGCAACAGCTGTGGTCAAGAAAGGTCAGCAGGCTGTCCAGGACCATGTGCAGTGGCATGCAGCAACTTTTCAGACCACTCCACAGTTTGTTTGTTTGTGTAACCGGTATTTGTCAGCTTCTCTGTGAGCGTGTCACGGGAGCAAGCATCAAAGTCTTTCTGAAAGGTAAGGTAAGCAACAGTTGTTGCTCTCCCCTTGTGCACCCAGCAGGTCACTTCCATGTAGAAGACACTGAGAAGGCTCCAGTATGATCTACTCTTCATAGATCTGTTAGAAATGGCTCAGGATTCAAATTAGGATTTATTAAAAAATAGGATTTATTGAAAGAATATAAAAGAATA